ATGCAAACACACAGGGGTCACATCAGTGTTTTACAAAGTGACCTTACCCACCAGAGGGGCATTTTTAAATCTGCTTTAGCTTACACAGGAAAGGCTAAAGAAAAGTGCAAATACCTGCAATACTTGGGATATAGAAACTAACAAAACTAATAAATAATGTAAGATTCAGCAGAGTACAGAACATAATTTAAATGGCTGCATTATTTCTGTACAAGAGAGTTGGGGTCGGAAATCAGTAGTGATTTCTACTGCTCATTTAGGTTTTCTCTGAAATAGCAAATAAAATATTCGTCATGAAAAGGAAGAGAATATGGAACTAATTTTCCCTCTTTTATAGCAGGTTTTTGTCTCTTAAACGTTTCATTGGAATTCAGTAGAGAAATAGGCTTACTCTTCTCTTATGAGCACTTGCATTCACACTGTGTATGTGGTTGCAGAAGACAAATAGATCTTACTGACACTGAAAATTTTTACATATGTAAAACATTCTATGAATGAATTTTGAACAGCTTCACAGAAGCTGATGGTTGTAAAGGAAAGAAGGAAAAGGAGAAACAGGGAAAAATGCTGTTACTCCTAGGAAACAGGCGAGAATTTTGTGTATAAGCTCTTAAGGGAAGAATTGAAGTTGTTATTTCCTTTTTTTGTTTTTCCTTCAACAGTAAAGATTACATGAGGTTACACTTAAAATAGGAAGGCACGGCAATTCAGCACTGGCCATGTAAAGTAATTTCCATGTGATTCTCCTTTATTGCTGAGCTGTTGGAAAAGTGGCTGATCTCAAGCCCAGCAGCAAAAAAAGGAAGAAAGTAGGAACTCAGGAGCTTATGGATGCTACACTGCTGCAGTAAAATTGAAGACAAGCATCTGCACATAGAAGTTTCTGTACAGCCAAGTAGTTAGGACACGTCCTGTTGGAAAAGGCCTGACAATGAGGAGGAGCAGTGATGGAGAGCCTGTGCAACCTATTGGTGTATTCGCAGTTTGCTTCTGATGACCCATGGAGGCCAGGGGGAAGGATTTCTGCTGGCACAGAAGTTTGTGAAGCTTCTCTTCAGGTGTGGTTTCACCCTGAGGAAAAAGGTCCTACCTTTTTAAACCTTATTTTTTGTCACTGATTGCTGCAACAGTCTATCCTTGAGTCCATGATACCAGACTGGTGATGGTCTCGTGGAGTGCTCTTCAGGGAAAAGGAATTTTAGGGAGCAAAAGTAAGAAATTCTATGAATTTATTCATTGTGTTATCATGTTAATGGAGAGCTAGTCATGGCAGAGTCATCTCACACTCAGCCACTGCCTGTTTGAGTTATGTGGGTGATGTCATTTTGTTTTATTCTGGATGTGTCCTTGGAACTACAAAACCAGCTATCTCACTTTTTCCTTGCCTTGAAGCACATTAAAAAATGAGCTTAAACATGGTAGACTTTCATATCCTTTTTTGCATAAAAGTGCTGAGAATTCCTTGGATTTATTTCCAATATGTTGGAGTTAGATACTGAGGACATTTTTGTTACACATAAAGCTTGTATTTTTGTGCAAAATTGATAGTCAGATGTAAGCATCTCCTATAGCATGGCTGTTCTCAGTTTTGGTCACCTTTGGCTCACATCACAGTATCACAGTATCACAGTGTTCACATGATGCTACTGAAGGCTGTGAGGGTCACAGTGAGGGGGAGGTTCTGTGGAAAACAAAGTAAATAGAAGAGGAAAAGGTCTTACAGAGAAAACTATTCAGGTTAATAGCTATAGTTTGTCTGTGGAGCTGTGCATCACCTCTAGTAAAAGTAGACCTCATTTCAGAGCACATTTGTCCTATTTAACACAGCCTGTTGTGTTAGTGTAATAACAGTACAGTACAGTACAGTAATGGACAGAATTTCCTGGATGCACTTACTTGACATGGATCAAGGTTGCAAGAGACTAATAGTTAATTTCAAAGCAAAGGTCAAATGCTGTTTAGTTCCAGTGTCTTCTCAGTGCTCTATCATGGGCTGTCTTGCAAACCCACAAAAAAATAGCCAGTTTCTCAGCCCAGGTGATAATGCATGCACACAGATACTGAGCATATCTCCTGGCCTCTCCTTGTTATCTAGCTGTTTGCCTGCTTTGCTGATGAGATGCATCCATCCCAACCCCCTGAGTTTCTTGGACTACAATCCCTTCATTATTTATTTCTGGGGCTGTACTGCTGCAGTGTGGCCCCTGTGTAGCAGGACTGATGGGAACAGAGTGCTTTGCACCTACTTTGTGCTTATGCAGCCACTCATCTGTCCTTGGACTGACTGTTGTGAGTAGCCAACAAACACAACTGCAGGTCTAGCTTTATACTGCATAATTAGTTTGAAACTTAACATCATCTTCCAGCTTTTTATTTGAGCTGCTGTAGGTTATAAATACTTCTAACTGTTGAGGTATTTTTTTGTACTTCTGCTGAGGGTCACTGAACTATGTCCCAAGCTAGAACTGCTACTTTCAATGAGTTTTCTATTAATTGTGCCTATTATGGGACTGCTATAAGAAAAAGTTATGTTTTTTGTCTTTCTAAGGGTGAATACCGCAAATAAATAAGAATAGTGCAATAGGCTTGTGGTACAGAAATGGTGTATTGTTTTTCTCCTGACTGGAAAACCTGGCAATGGCATTGAGACCAGGTTTTCTGTGTTAAACCTGAAACCCCTTCCTTTACTCTGCAGAACAGTCTCTTCTGTATTCAGTGTTGGCTTACTCCTCTTTGGTGTGCTGAGCTGTGGCAGGGGTTTGTACTTCACTCTGCCACCTACCCTGAGGGGCTTTTGCTCAGAAGCAGACAGGTTGGTTTTCTCTCTTTCCCTCTACTGCTACTAATTTTCCTTATATATCTGCATTTTCTGCCCTGCATTTGTTGCCAGCCTCGCAGCACATTGAATTAATATGGCATCAACAGAGCACTGAAAGGAGCTGTGTTAAATTTAACTTTGTTTAGTGGTGCAGATCACACTGTGGTTATATTTTTTTGTTTGTTTTTGAATTATTTGATTTTAATGAGAGATGACTTGGCACCAGCATCACAACAGGTACAGCATGAGAATCCAGGAGGGAAACTGTTAATTCATATTCTGTTCACAGAGATAGCTGTGAAAGAGCATATGCTGAATGTGCATTCCAGTTTCATTTCTTTTGTTCTTATTTACAGTGACAGTGTATTTCCCTTTAGCTTTGATTACTTCATAAACCTGGAGCTGATGATGAATATGCAGTTTACACTCCAAGGCACTGGAATCCGTGCAAGAAGACAGACCTTGATGTGGTTCACAGCACACTGTGACCTCCACCCTCTTTATTAATCAGTCAGGCTTTCAGGGGCACATCCACCATTCTAGCTATAGCACTTGTTTACTCCTCTCTCTTTTTCCCTGATAAATGCGATTATCTCAACCTCTGGGAAACACACTGTAGGTGTGTGACTTCTGTCAAAGGATGCTGAATTCTCTGTGCTCTGAATTTAGGTTTAAAAGGGTTTGGTGTATTCCTCAGTGGGTTCTTAAATTGTGTCACAGTGTTTTGTTACACACAGCCTGGTGTGGAAATTTGTCACTGCTTAGCAAGGTCTCATCAGTCTCCTGAAGAGCAAGACTAGCAATTTTTAGGGAAGTGTCCTGGTTACAATTGTGGAAATCATGAGTGGAGTTGTGTGGTGTGGAGGGAGTTGCCTTATCACTGCATGGTGTTCTGTTAGAAAGCAATTTGCTTAGAGGCAAGGATTTTCTTTGAAGGAGTGGAAAGAGATATGGGACTTTGAACAGTCTACTGGTTAATTCTGTATTAGTCTTTCACAGATCTGTGGTTGTTGTACATGAACAGAGCAAAAGAGATGCTCTTAAAAGCCTTTGGGCTTCTTATAAACATGATAGGAGACAAACGTGCAACTATAGTGAATCAATGCAGTTTATTCTGCTCAGAAAGGCACCCTAGTTCCAGGCATTACAAAATAATAATATTGTATAAGAATAATATTGTATAAGAGATCAAATTTGAGCTTTTCTGGTATAAGTGATTTGAAATAGGCATCATTGTACTATTGACCTATCAGCAGAAACATGACCATTGCGCCATGCTGTTTTGTAGCCATCTCCTTAGATCACTTCTACAGAGAAAAGTGAGAGAAGATTTCATTATTATACCCCTTGCCATTCTCCACACAACTGTAATCCTTAAGCACTAGCACCTACATTCCTGAACTTGTCTTTTTGTCAAGTAGAGGGGTATTTTATCTTTGGAGGAGGTTACTGAGAAATAAGTGATGAATTACCTTGTGCTTGAACCACCAACAGTGGCTTGCTGCCACAGTGAAAACATCACTAAACAAGATGAGGGTAGCTGTGTGCAATTTCCCTTGATGCAGTAAATCAAATTCTTTCATTACCCAAAGGTAGACAGGTGAGAGACTAGTGAATCTGCAGCGCTTAAGTCCGTGTTTCTGAACCACTCATGACTTCCTGACAGGATTTCTGTGCAGGAGGGTTGGTACATGTGCTGAAGGTCTATTCTAATCTGTTATTGCTTTATGAATCATGGACACAATCCAAAAAGAGCTGCAGTCCCAAAAGCTAAAAACTCCTCTGCATGGTCAGAGAGAACCACGTTGACCATGACTGGCTCTAAACAAAACAGTGGAACTGCTCTGCTCATCAAAACCTGCAGCATAGCTGCTTGGTTTCATCCTTTTTGCCAGCTTTGGGGTCTGCCATGGTTATGAGCATTCCTTATGCCTTTGAAGAAATGTGATGAGCACAGGAATTATCTCAGGTACTGACTAGAGTGAAGGAATGCTGGTGGACCAGGAAGGGAGGTTATACAGATGCTCTATATCATGTATCTCATTTAGAGCTAAGCAGAATTTAAGAGTTAAGGGTTGTCAGCCAGACACTTCCAAAAACTTCTTGAATTCTCCTTAAATTAGATAAAAAGTGTTTTTAAATAAGTCTTAAGATACTTATTTTTGTGCATTTTTGTTTTCAGGATGAATAAGAGATACTTACAGAAAGCAACAAAAGGAAAACTGCTAATAATAATATTTGTTGTAACGCTGTGGGGGAAATTAGCATCTGGAGCAAATCATCATAAAGGTAAGAAATTCAGTTCTATTACACTGTCATATCTGTGGCCTCTGTCAACAAATTTGGAAGTGTCCAGTTTATGTGAACTTTTTCCTTACGTGTATTTGTGCCTCTTTGTATTGGTCCACTAACCAGTACCAAAGGAGGAATCTTTTCAATGGTCAGACCTTTATTAATTACTTGAGAATTTAAGCATGTCAGTCCCATTTTCATCATTCTCTGATTTTAGGTCATTTTATAATGATGGTTAAAAAAAAAGATGGTAATGTAAAAAAAACAAATAATGAATACTGCTTGTCTTATAAAAATAGATACACATACGTGTGCTACAAATGAATGCCTGGAACGAACATTAGAAAAAAACAATTTTTTCTTCTGTGTGTTTCTGTAAACCTGTGCAAGAAACAAGATCTCTAGATTCATGTACTAATATCTTCTTAAAGACTAATATAACTTGAAATGTGATCTGCAGTGATTTTGAAATCTTCTCCTCATTTTCGTATAGTGTCTATTGGCTGTTTATCTGCTTACTCAAGACAAGAATAAACTCTTAACAACTTCGGTAAAGTAAGAGTGGAACATGAACATTTCCAAGATCTAAGGAGTTAAATACTGGGAAAGGATTCCCATAAAATCAGTTATCGCTCTGTGTTCTTGTACATTTTATAATGTTCCCTCTGATGACAGGATTTCATGGCAGATATTTTACATATCTGACTCCTAGACATTTTTCTGCTGTGTGAAGATAGCTTTTTTAGAATACCTCACATATTAAGGACTTCAGGAAACAGAGACACTTTCTGCAAAGTCTTTTAGTGAGTTAGTTTGGCTGCAGAAAAAACATATTCTGATGTGGCCATTTAGGCCGCAAAAGATGGGCATTATGCCAGACAGGAACCATGCTGACACCCTTTGCTCGGCTTGTGTTCCCCCTCCAAACCAGAATATGCGTTTGTGCTGTGGCTTGCCAGTTTAGTTGACTACTGGGAAAGAGCCAACACATTCTAGCCTGGATTCAGAATTCTTTCACCTTTGATTGTCTTTCTCTAACAATCAGAAAGCCCATCTCCAGACCATTTTGATTCCATCCGCAAGGGCTGGTCAAGCTGTGTTTGCCCTAATTGAATTGAGAGTCGGCCAACTTATGCTTGCTACTTTCTTCTGTTTGCTTTTAAATAAAACCCTGATGGATAAAACTTGTCACCAAGTATTTCATGGAGACAAATTATAATCGTAAGGACTCTTTGGGCAATTAGTGCTTCATAACTGAGAATCAAATGATACCCCACCAATTTTAGCTTTCCAGATATATTCATGCAAGGGAAACCCCAGCAGAGCTATACCATTCATTATCTGCACAGTACATGGCATTTCAGGCCCATCCTTAGAGTACAAATAACTTGAGAAATATTGAATTTGATGTTTTTAGATTTAAAAAATATGCACAAGATCTCCCCTATGAAATCAGGTTATTAGCTGTAGGGACTTCCTGATGTCCTTGCAAGTTAACAAAAAATTTGGGTTCTTCCTTTTCTTTAATTTGTAGTTCTTCACACCTTTAGCAAAATATATGAAGTCTTTCAGGGAACAATAATGATAAGCATCATGACTTGAGTGTTTAATTTGGGAAAGCAGTTATTGTACATGTTCAGATTCTTTTGTAAAGAAAAGTATTCAGAAGGACTTTGGCTTTCGGATTTAGTAGATGTTCAAATCAGTTACACTCACTCTATATGGGGGATTATTTTATAAAGCACAAATCAGAGTTACACAGCTCAACTAACATTGATTTCCAAAGATACTGGTAGTTTAACCCTTGTGTCACAGAAAGTCTTCCCCTTACTCTCATAGTAGAAATGGAGCTAAGGTCCATTCAAGGAGAACTGATGCAGTTCACCTTTGAATGGAGTTTCCAAATACTGAAAAATATGAGTTTCTCCAGTGATAATTATCCTTAGCATCATTAATCTTCATTTATAGAAGTCCTTACTAGCATATTCACATGACAAACTCTAATGACTTTGAAGGAGCCCCTACAATCTCAAAAATCAATAATCTAGATTTGAAAAAATCTTTACATTCCTATTGACTTAGTCATATTATTCATTAGTTGCAACCATTTCTAAACCCATATAACTTTCAGAAAGCTGTTGTTAAAGAAAAGAAGGAAATATCAAAAATGTGTGAAAAATTGTTTAATGTGCATTCTACTCTTCAGACAGACTTCAGCAGGGATATAAGCAGCTCACTCTGACAGGCTGTCCCTGGGTTCATTGCACTTATTTCAGGGCTGTGGCACAAATGAGAAATCCCAAGTCAGCAGCCAGAAAAACAGGCCAAGGAAGGGCATGGGGAACCAGGCTCTGAGATCCAGTTGAGCAGCCACCAGGGTTACAAACTGTGATTTCAGATGACAGCTTCTCAGTGTCAGGTGTGTGACTGTGAAGTCCATCCTTCTTTCTCTTGGTTTGACTGCTTTGAATATACTTCTGCCCCCTTTATCTTGACTGATTGTCAAAGTTTCATCAATCTGGACAGAAAGTCCAAGAGCTAAAACAAATAAGCACTCAACAGTGTTTGAAACAAAACAGAAAGCTCACTTTTTTTTTTTTTTTGCCACACATACGATTCTGAGTTCTCCTGCATAGTTCTTGGGTCTGCACATGCTTGTATTCAATGCATTCTGTCTTCTGGAAAGAAACAGGAACTCTGATTTTTATTCTGCATTGTGCTGAGGACCCCGATGTGTGATGTCTGCGTTACCAGAGCACATGCACTGGGAATCAGCCTGCAGTACCAGGTCCATTTGTGCTGCAGTAGCTATGCATGACAAGACAAGAGTGGCATATCAGCCTCCAAAAGGATATTATCAAGGTTATGAGTCTAAAACCTGATATACCTTGAGGGTGGTGAAATAAATCTTTAAGGGCATTTTATTATAAGAGTGATCCTGATCCTCTTACTCCTTGCTAGCCCTTGGAAAACAAATAGACCTGTTCAAGCATATAGTGTTCACTAACAGAAATGGCAGGCAAGCATCAGTTTAGCATCACTACCTGTTTGCTGTTCCTGTCATAGGGAATTGAGTTGGTGATCATTTTATCACAGCCCGTGTTTAAGGTTTCTGGTCCTTTTGTGAAAGAAATATACTGATAGCCTCTTACAAGCACTCCTTTGCAGACAAAAGGCTGCTTCAAGACACAGTTTCTACCCTAAAACTAAAAACATTTTCAAAATTTGGATTTCTTTGAGCTACTTGTGATTACTAAGTTTTTTCTAGATTTATAACAATAAGATAATCTAAGTAAATTATGGGTGCTTTTGAATCTGAGAATAGTTCAACATGCCTCAAAATACCAACCAATAAACTTTATGCCAGAAGGAATTCATTATGGAACCAGAAAACACTCCAGGTAGCTAAATAAAGTAATTGAGTATTTTTGGACTTACTAGATGAAAAATCATGATAATTTATTTTCATTTTTGAAATTTCACTCAGAAGCTTAACTTATTCATCTGATGCCTGTCACGTAGTTAAACCAAACTGAACTCTTTACTATTTGTGATGCAGAATTGCTGCTCCTTATTTGTGACTTTGCACCAAATTAGAAGCCTGAGGGAATGTCTTTCTGTTCGCAAGGAGAAAATAAATCTTGGTTTCTCCTTGAAGAGCAGAAGCTGTTCTGAAGTGCAGTTGAATGAAGGAGCCACTGAGCTCCTTTTGGATTGTAGCATTTGGCAGGGCTCTCTCAGCAAGTGCAGTAGTGCTAACGCTGCACTGAATCAGCATATGACAGGCTCCTGGCTCTGCCTGACCTCCAGGCTACGGAATTGATTTGTTTTGAGGAGAGATAATACAGCACTTTGTTAAAAGCTACGGTAATGGCCTGTGTGCGTTGCCTCAATGCTCTCATGCTCATTTCACACACAAGCGGTGAAATTCACTGGTGAGTTAGGACAACTGCTTAGACAGCTTAATAGGTGATTTATCATAGGATCATAAAATCATAGACTCATGGAATCATAGAATAGTTAGGGTTGGAAACGACCTTAAGATCATGAAGTTCCAACCCCCCTGCCATAGGCAGGGACACCTCACACTAAACCAGGCCACGCAAGGCTCTGTCCAAGCTGACCTTGAACACCACCAGTGATGAAGCATTCACAGCTTCCCTGGGCAACCCATTCCAGTGCTTCACCACCCTCACAGTAAAGAATTTCTTCCTTATATCCAATCTAAATTTCCCCTGTTTAAGTCTGAGCCTGTTACCCCTTGTCCTATCACTGCAGTCCCTAATGAAGACTTCCTCCCCAGCATCCCTATAGGCCCCCTTCAGATACTGGAAGGCTGCTATGAGGTCTCCACGCAGCCTTCTCTTCTCCAGGATGAACAGCCTCAGCTTTCTCAGCTTGCCTTCATACGGGAGGTGTTCCAGTCCCCTGATCATCCTTGTGCCCCTCCTCTGGACTTGTTCCAACAGTTCCATGCTCTTTTTATGTTGAGGACACCAGAACTGCACACAATACTTCAGGTGAGGTCTCACGAGAGCAGAGTAGAGAGGCAGGATCACCTCCTTCGACCTGCTGGTCACTCTCCTTTTGATGCAGCCCAGGATACGGTTGGTTTTCTGGGCTTCAAGTGCACACTGAAGCTGGCTCATGTTCACTTTCTCATCAACCAACACCCCCAAGTCCTTCTCCACAGGGCTGCTCTGAATCTCTTCTCTGCCCAGTCTGTAGCTGTGCCTGGGATTGCTTTGACCCAGGTGTAGGACCTTGCACTTGGCATGATTAAACTTCGTAAGGTTGGCATCAGCCCACCTCACAAGCATGTCAAGGTCCCTCTGGATGGCATTCCTTCCCTCCAGCGTATCAACTGAGCCACACAGCTTGGTGTCATCTGCAAACTTGCTGAGGACGCACTCAATCCCACTGTCCATGACAGCGACAAAGATGTTGAACAAGAGCGGTTGCAACACCAATCCCTGAGGAACACCGCTCGTTACTGG